TTCTTAATACATACAAAGTTATAAGCACCTCATAGATCAATCTTTGTAAAGATCTTTGCTTGGCTAAGTTGATCGAGAAGTCTTGATATCAATAGAAATGGATATTGATTCTTTACCATGATTTTATTAAGACCACAATAATTGACATACATCTATAAAGATCCATCATTCTTCTTCACAAATAATATCAAAGGACTACTTGGCAACTTGGAATGTCAAATATAAATCTTAGCAAGATTTTCATCATTATACTCCTTTAAAGTCGCAAGCTCATTCTGAAATAAATTGTAAATGGGTCCAAATGGTGGTTGAGCATCTTCTTGAAGGTCAATTGCACAATTGTAAGGACAATACTTCAGCAAGATGTCTGCATTTTTTTTTTTTTTTTTTTTTTTCAAATATATCTGCAAAATCCTTATATGCTTCTAGAATTGTTAGCTATTAGAAGCTTTTTCATAGATCTGTAATTTTTATGTTCTACTAAAAAAAATTTTAACTTTCAGGATATCTAATCAATATGTGGATTGTATTTTTCAAGCCATGAGAGTTCTAAAATAGTTGGACTTGATGGTGATCTAATGATGTTGAATACTACTTGATTGCTATATTTGTCAAATATTATTTCTAATGGAATCATCTCATAATTGATATCTCCAAAGGATAAAGGTCGACCATCTATTACTTCTACATGTACGGCTTTGGATTTTTTGATTGCACAAATTTTGTATGATCTAAAAAATTCTTTGTCAATAAAACATATAGAAGCTTTTGAATCAAATAATGCATGAAATTCTAGTTTTATGACTTCTAATTGTATAGGTATAATAAAACAATAGAAAGGGCTGACAAAGAATATATGACCTTTTTTAATTTGTCATAATGAAGAATCCAATCCCACGATATCTATTGTAGTTGAACACCTTTGTTTTCTTGCAAAGCTTTTGATGATGTGGCCGCACTCTTCATTCGATATGTACACTAATATTTCTTTGAACAATTATTAACCTTATAGTTAAGTTTTTTACAATATAAGCATAGGCCAAGTTTCCTTTAATATTTCTTTTTTGCTTAGAAAGAGGATTATAAAAAATTGCATCAATCTATATATCTTTTGCTTCTAAATACTCATTAAAATTAGATGGTGAAGAAGCTGTAGAATAATTGGTATATACATATGGCATAATTGAAGAATGTTTATCTTATTGTCATTGAAATAAATGGTTATCGCACTTCATACCTTGACTAATGGCTACATTGAGTCTTTGAGGATGTGACAAAAAAAAAAATAAGTCCTTGACATCATTTCTTAATCTCTAATGAAATTGGCTCATCAAAGCATCTTCTTTTCAATTTATATCATATATTAATTGTCAAAAATCTGAGGCATATATTGATGTAAAACATGTTCTTTGTCAAAGGCTTTGAATTTTAATTATTGAAGAATAAACCTTATCATGTTCACCAAATACTTCTGCAAATGCTACCAAGAATACTTCAAAATTGTGCAATATAGGAAAATTCTTTTCAAATAATAGAGTGAACCAAGATAAAGCTTGACTTGAAAGCAAGGTTCCTACCAAACCAATACAAGATGCTTCAATAGAATATCATTGAGGTTGAAGTAAGGCAATTAGTCATACTTGGTTTACAAAGCTACAAAATTTTGAGCATGTGCCATCAAACTTTTTTGGAAGGCTGATGCTTGGTTCTTTTACTGTTATTGTTGTCAGATTATTACCTTAAATGAATGCACCTCCCATGTTTGTTGAAATAGATATAGTCATTTGAGAATTTGGAATCTCAATTGCCATTTGATGTGGTGGTTGAGGCACTTTGGCTCCTTGACCATTATGTATGGTCATATATCGTTGTAGAATAAATAAATAAACTTTGTGGTAAGTTACTAGTTGATTATTGATAACCTTGAGAATTAGATTGATGGTTAGATAGTTTAATTGGTAACAGTAGGTTGTTAGTGGAATAAATGGTTAAGAATTCAAAGCGTTATAACCTTTGGAATCTGTTGGCTGACGGATCATCTTTTTGATAGGATAAAGAAGTTGAGGAAAGTAAGCCAAGGGCCAGACTTTGAGACTCATAAGCCGGGACAAGCTTGGTGCTACCTCTTTTTGTTTCTTTGTTGTTGAGGAGTAATGGATAGTTTTTGAATATTGAGAAGTTAGTCTCGAGAGCCAAACTGTGAAAGTCGTAAGCCGAGATATTAAATTCTGTGTGATGAATTGAAAAATTGAATACAATAGGTAAACTAGAGATCAATAATTGAATATCTATAAACTACAAAGAGAGTAAGTGGGAGATGAACGGATAAGAATATGAAAGTATTGTTGAATTGATAGTCATAGAATGGATTATGGATTGAATTAAGATGGAAGTAATAAGCCTTGGTGTTTTATAGTTTGATAATTGATTTCACATAGCTAGAGTATAGTCAATTGTAACACTAATAGATCCAGTTTATATGACCAATCTTTCCCTATATTCGAACCCACCTCTATTAGTTCAATTGCTTTGGTATATTGGAAGATATTATTTCTTAATGCTTGTCTTTTAGCTTTATAAATTCAATAATTAGAAAAAAGACCTAATGATATTGAAGCAGCAATGGAGAAGTTGAAAGAAGCAAGAAAAAAGAATAAAGAAAGATTTGATAAAAAAACATTGACTACGACCTAAGGCAATTAAAGATGGTAATTAGGTATTAATTTGTGATAGTAGCTTAGATAATCAACATAATACAAAATAGAAGTTTACAAAGAGATGGTTTGGGCCTTATGTTGTCAAACAAGTATATGATAATGGAATACACTTATTATGAGAACTTGATGATGCAAAATTGAAGATACCTATAGCAGGTAAGCGAATCAAGTTATTTAAACAAAGAGGTGAAGAAATTTGTTTTAATAAAAAATAAAATATATTATAAGACATTGAAATGGAGGTAGAAGAGTAAATTTAGGATCAAAAATTAGGCCAAGCTGAAAAAAATTGAATATCAATGTAATGAAGAAAACTTTGCACATGTTAGAAGATGCACAGATTCAAAGGAGGTAGATGTTGTGATATAAGATGGCTAATAAATAAAAGAAAGAAGAAAATATTATATTTTAGAAGATCTTATTTTAAAGTATTATAACAAATTATCTTAGAAAATAAATAATAGTCAAAAAGATAGTAAAACTAAAAAGTAATATTATTGTGTTTTTACAAAATAGGCTTCTATTTACTTTGTAGGGCCATAAATTAGGCAAAATAAAATAGATTAAAAAATAAAATAATATAGGCATATATAAGAGGAAGTTAAAAGTAGATTTTAGTAAAATTTATTTCAAAAAGCCAAGAATTGATACCTAAAGAGGACCAATTGTCAACATAGATAGAAATCAGATCTTGAGGCACTAAACCACACACCTACGGTGACTTTGAGGATCTTTTGTAGATTAAAGAAAAAGATTTAGAAGAAAACTTGCAAAAAGATTTTTGGACATTGGTTTTATATCAATTGAGTTAATATTTAATTTTGGAAGGATTTTCAAAGTTAGTGATGTTCTTAATTGATTTAGATTTTGAGAAATAAAACTATGTTTATACATTTGAAGCTTTCTTGAGTTTTATGGTATATATATAGGTAAAATTTGGATAGAGTATTGGTATATTAGTTATAAATGTGTATGCAAATTTTAGGTCAATCGAACGATTAGATTGAAGTGTGTAAAGGTTTTTGTGGTTTGAGGTCTCAATAATTGGAGTTTGAGAGTTAGTGAGTATTTTTAAGATCTTTAACAATTTTTTTATTGGATTGAAGTGAATTTTTTTATATGGAGACTAGATTTGATTTTCAACAATTTAAGTAAATTTTGGAAGAAATTTATTAGTTCAAAAAAGAGATATTGGCATTGGAAGTTCAACATTTAGTTTGGAATATGAGGTTGGCCAACATCTAAGTAGATTTTAGGATTTTTCTTCTATTTAGTACATATGATTATCTTCAAATTTTTTGTACTTGTTTTTAACCAAGAGGTTGAAAGGTATATAAATTTTTAAGCAAGATCAATAATTTAAAATTCTTAAATTGAGTTTCATTTCTTCAAACAAATCTTTTCTATCTAATGAAATCTCGACCTCATCTATGCATAATCACCAATCAAGATTTTTCTACTAGAAAAAACCAAAACTATATCAATTATGACAATTACAATTACAATAGTGATGTTGTATTTTGACATATTTATTATAAAAGAAGTATAATGAGAGATAGAAAAAATAATAATAATAATAATAATAATACACAAAAGATATAAGAAAAATCAAACTCAAATTTTTAAAGAATTAGAATAGTTATTTAAAGTGGTGATTGTTGTTATATATGTAAATTGTGTAACCAATTCAACAACTTATGCCAAGGCATTGTTGTAGAATCCCAACTTACTTCAAATTGATTTGGACTCTACCAAAACCTCTCAAAACCTAAACCAACCCTCTAATTTATGTGTGAGTTCTTTTTTCTTTTTTCCTTTTTTTTTTTTTTTTTTTTTTTTTTTCTCTCTCTCAAAATATTCAATTGGAACCAAACATACCATTTAGACTCATTGTGGATGATATTCATCCCACACGACGGACAGAAGCGCGGAGGTAGGGGCTGCTTCCTCTCTCTCTCTCCTTGCTTTTGTGTGTGCTTTTGCTGGTGTTAGTTTGTGTGAGCGATGCGAGCGAGAGCGATGCGAGCGAGAGCGATGGCGGGCCCCGGCTTTGCGATGCTTGCTTGCGAGATCGCGAGGAGAGGGGCGTCGGAAACCAAGCAGCGCCTGCTCCAATCCCGGCGCTCTCCATCTCTGTGGCCACCCACGCTCGAAATCGACTACCTAGCAATGCTCCTCATTGTCCCGACTTCTCCAATGACGATTTTTCTCGCTCTCATGCTCTCGTGGCCTTCGACGTGGAACTATAGATTTTGGTGCAGTCTCCAGTCAGTGCAGGTGAGAATAAGCTCCACCCTCTGTCTATCACCACAGGTGTAATTGATCCCTGGTTCAAGGTCGGGTGTCCATTGATGCCGACACTGAATTTAGAAGCACCTTCGCGTTGTTGAATTTGTTTGCTGAATTTGGAAGTGGGTGGTTATCATAGAGCCATTCAGGGAGGAAGGTTGTTTTGCATTGAGGGGAATTGTCACAGTTTTGAGGTTTGTGTTCAGTGGAATGAAAACCTTTGCTCCTTCTCTCTGTCTCTGTCTCTCCCTCTGTTATCCGTGTTCTTTGTAAGAATTGAATTCTGCAGCGGGTGTTAGATTTCTGATTTTTGTAGTTTGGAATTGGTCACCTCACATCAAGATTTCCGGTTTAGAGTGCTTATTACAAATCCATTTACTCGTTTTTCAATATTTGGTGATGCCATCTACAGGATACTGATCGCCGAGTTTTTTTCTTTCTCTTTTTCTTTCCCTCAGCTGCTGCAGTGTTCTTCTCAGCTGGATGGGTAAGGTTGAGGCTCTGCCGTCGGTCATCTGCCCTCGCTGCTAGCAAATTGTTGTTTGTCAAGTCCAATTTTTGGCGGAGGGAATTTGGAGAAAATCATCATGATGTGCGCAAGGATGTTTGTGCGTGCTGTAAGCATCTCTTGTATTCTTCAGCGTGATTATTGTGTGTGTGAGAGAGAGAGAGAGAGAGAGAGAGAGAGAGAGAGAGATGAATGAATTAGTGAATGAATGAGGGAGACGGAGAGGGAGATTGCATTGAGAACACTACATAGCTTTAACCGAATGGTGCTGCTACGAGATCGTACAAATTTTGTGATTACTAATTTTTATTTAATTTTTGGTTTTTATAAGTCTAGCACCCATGACTCTCTGCCACAAAAATAATGTTACCCAACCAAGGTTATTCTCATTGTGGGTTCGGCATCTCAATTAGTCCAAATTAACTCCTTCGAATTATTTCTGGGGGCGACGGACATTTTGGAGACACAGATACTAATTCTGTATTTGAATTCGCGATATGTGGCTTGAATCCTTGGTCTAAGTAAAACCCAAATCTATTGTGTTACCTCGCAGGCAAATCTAATGTGTCACCTGTAACGATTACTTAATGAGCTTTAGAGTGGCGTTTTTATTTGCTTCAATTCTATATTGATTCGATGGAATTATTCCAATTTACCATGTAATTGAGAGAAAGAGCTGATGTTTTTCTTGTGCGTTGATTATTTCAGAGCGACATTCCCGGTTCCACAGGAGTTCAACAGATATGTTACAATTCTTTGTCCTCTTTGAGATCTTTTCATGGGATATCTACGCATAGGTTTTCTCGGTTAATTGAAACTGGAAACATAACCAGCTCGATATCAGTAAAGCACACAGCTGGGAGCAACCAAGCACCTCTGCTCGCCAAAGTTGTAGGGTCTGCCGGGACAGAAAGCTTAGTTGGAAATGGAGTTGATGTGGAAGACTTTGATGTTGATTCCTTGTCCCTTAACCAAGTATCCAGCCAGAAAAATGGGTCCACATCTGCTCAAAATGGTATGTGAACTCATCTCATGCAAGTGTTTGAATTATAGACTAGGATGTTGGCTGAAATCAACTGAGGTTTAGTAATTCGTCCCCTAGCTAACTCATACAGAGTAACTCACACGAAAATGGACAGAATGTGTTATTTCGCATGACTGTTGAAGTCTATGATTTGGCAATAATTGATTATATTGAATGACTTCTCTAGGTACACAAGTTCTTAAGAATTGCTTTTGAAATGGATATTTTGTAGGAGATTTGATACTGGCAGCCGTGGACATGGGAACCAACTCCTTTCACATGGTGGTTGTTCGAGCCGACAAGCAAGGCCGGTTCCAGCTTATGGACACAGAAAAAGAAGACGTCCGACTTGGTAGTGGCAGTTCTGATTTAAGTGTTATTACTCCAGATGCTGAGATCCGCGCCTTGGCTGCATTAAAGCGCTTCAAAACCCTCGCACAAATCCGGAAAGCCGAAATGCGAGTTGTTGCCACCTCCGCGGTTCGAGAAGCCAGGAATCGCCGTACGTTTGTGCAAAGAGTCCGTGATGCTGTGGGACTAGATGTTGAGGTTCTTTCAGGCACAGAGGAGGCATGCTTAATTTACCAAGGAGTCCTGCAGGCTCTTCCCGTTTTCGAAAAGACAGTGTTAGTGGTGGATATTGGAGGCGGTTCAACCGAGTTTGTCCTTGGAAATCGAGGAAAGCCTACCTACGCAACCTCGCTCAAGCTCGGCCATATTCGGCTCTCGCAGCAATTCCTTTCAGATGGTCCGAATAAAAAGGAGGAGCTGAAGAAGGAGCAGGTTTGTGTTTGCTTCCCTGGTGGATAGCATTCACAATTTTAAAGTGCTAGCTTTGCTGTTGCCTTTGCCACATCCAGAGAAATACCTGTGAGCTTAATCTGGCTCTGTGTCGTGCTTTCAAGTTCTTTATTTTCATTTTGAACGTGATCGTGGTATTATTTCTTAACCTAGCATAGCTGTGGTAATGTTTTTCACCCCTGGTCATATTTTCTTGACATGCGTTGCGTTGTAGGTCGAGGAGCTAAGACGGCATATTCGAGTGATCTTGGCTGATTCTGGTGTGATCGACCAAGTTCAAGCTAACGAGTTTGAAGTGGCCATTGGGAGCTCTGGTACTATTGAAAGCATTGAACAGATGATTCACTACACTGTCACAACAACAAGTGCTCCACAGGTGCGTGTTGGTTATCAGGTGCGGGAAGGTTCTCATGGAACTGTTACTTCTAGTATTTCCTATTGAAGCTTGGGTTCCCATCTCATTGATCATAGTCAGGTTTGTATCACCAGGTTGTGGACGGCCAACAAAACAAGGGTTCACTACGTGATCGAGAGTTTACTGCAGACGAACTCAATCAGGCAGTTAAGAAGGTACTACAGCCTTAGATCCCATTTCACTTCCTATACACGTTAGAGTAAAAGAAGGTCCTTTCTCTGGGCAAATTGATGGTTTTGGCAACCTAATACCGATTTACAAGTCAATCAACCTGGCTTCCTGATCAGATATGTAAAGTGAAGACTGTGGAGCAGCGGGCTAAGATACCAGGACTACCTGAGAAGCGTGCTGATGTCATCGTTGCGGGCGCTGTGCTCTTGGAAGAAATTTTTCTGGCCTTGGGGATAACGAAGATGAAGGTGTCACCATATGCACTTCGAGAGGGAGTTGTTGTGGATACTTTAGCTGAAACCTTGGCGAATTATAAACCTGGAGTTAACATCCGGAAAACCTCCATTCTTAATCTTGCATTGAAGTTCAAGACAGATCAACGCATGGAATCGGCTCAACACTCAGCTGGTCTAGCCAAGGTTAGTCGTTTGTGATACTAAATGTGCCAAGTTTAGTCTGACGATATCAAAAAAAAAATTGTTTTCCTTGCTTACATCCGTCACTGATATCTTGGTTAGTTCTTCCAAGGGTGTCCAATGATAATTGATCTATATAAACAAACAGCTAATTGTCTTGTGCAGGAAATTCTTTCTGGACTGCAGACATGCCGCACTGGCACCAATGAATGTGTCTCAGACGTGGCTCTGTTATTGAATGATGGCGATGCTGACCTGCTGGAGGCTGCAACTAGTTTGCACTATGTGGGGATGTTCATCAATCACAAGTCATATCACAAACATTCTTACTACTTAATAAAGGTAGACCTGACGAAGTTATGTAACGCATTCGATGATGTTGCCCATCTGTGTGATGTGTGCCCATCTGTGTGATGTGTGCCCATCTGTGTGTTCGTTTCCAATTTTAGGCGAACGTTTTGATGAGGATAACTTACAGGCAAATTGTCACATGTATATTTTATATCAGTATAAAATTGAGAAGGGAATAGACTGATTGTGCAATGTTTTGGACCCAGAATAACGAGCATCTTCTCGGTTATAGTCCTTTGGAGATTGAGGTATTCTATTCCTTTTGTATCTTTCCTTTTCTTTGCTTTACGAATTCAACTTGTTGCTCTTCATTCGATCCCCTGTGGTAAATTAGTTAATGCCGAAAGAAATCTGAAGTTGGGAATTATGTCGGATCACTATTTGATGTTACAGATACTTGCACTTCTAGCGCGATATCATCGAAAGAAGGTTCCTAGCCAAAAGGATGAAGACTTTGCTAAACTGCCTGAAGAAGTGAGTTTACGCACTTCTGAACTTCGGAGACCCTGTTATGTTCATGTTTTGTCGAATACAAGAAAATTTAAGAGTGAAGAATTCTAACCTGTCTTTCTTGGGAGTGATGATATTTCTGTTAAGGATCGATATTTCCAACTCTTGGGCTATGGTGTGGATGTACAGCGCATTTTAATGGTGCTTCAGAAATCATTTGTGGACTGTATGTCGCCACCGCCATTAGGTCGTCAGGGTTTTATTAGTGGACCTCTGCCGAATATTGTATGTTGAGAGAATGTCACTGTGGTCCAGGTACAAAAGAAAGTGCGGGCAATGTGTGCAGTCATGCGTGTGGCAGTTGCTTTAGACCGGTGTGACTCGAGTGCCATTGACGATGTACATGTCTTCCAGCAAACGGAAAGCATCCTTCTTGTAAGCACAAAATCCGCAATCAATATATATGGAGTTCAAAAAAGAATCTTGTGTGCTTGTGCTTTTCTACCCAAAGGTGAATGCGATACTGACCAATGGAGTACCTGATGATAGAATTCGTCCTGTGACTAGACGTGTGCGTCTGGAAGACGTTAAATATTGGCTGAAGCTATAGATTGGTGACTCTAGAGATACAGGGGTAAAGTAGTAGTTCTTGCCGCGTGTTACACATTTAACGGCCGCACTCATATTTTTCCCCCTTTGTGCAATGAAGGCTGTAGTGCCTGCCATCGATCCAACGACAGGCAAAGCTCGTGATGTATCCCTCGAAGTCTGGGCGGCCCAACACGAGCTACCCTATTTTGAGAAAGTAAGATCTTTGGACCCAGTTCATCTCCATTTCTGAATTCAGCAACCATGAACCTGGGTACGTGAGCAGGACTCTGGTCACCAACATGCTCATACAAGCACACTTTGGTATTTGATGCAGATATTCAAGCGACGATCATCGATCATAGTCGCTGATGAGCACGACTTGGAGGCATTGGACACGGATGCCCCGTCTGTCAGTCTCAGTTCCTAGAGGTGTTAACGCCATACTGATCAACTATCAAGAGGGCGTTGAATTACTTTTTTTTGAGACCCACAGTTAATGCATAGCTACTAAGTGTGATATTGTATAGTAATTCATCCAAACACAGTGTGCATTGAAAGAATGTCAACTTGAATCCTATTGCGATCGAAATGTTTTCACCATATTTACCACTAAGATCCAGTACATACCACTTCATCTTTACACGCCTTTCATGACCTAAGTCATAGCCTCGCCCTCGCTGGCGGAGGAGGCTGTGCTATCCCGAAAGAAAAGTCGTGGAACTTGTATTTCGTGTAGAGTCTACTGGGACGGAGGAACACTACAAGAGGAGGTGCGCCGGTCAGCCACCGCAGAAAGGTGACCTCGGCATAGACAGCCCTCTGGGGTCTGGTCAATGGATCGACCACTCGGATCGTAGCTGACGTCGGAAGCAACCGAGTAGCCGAATAGAACTGGAAATCGTCAACGACACTATTTTTGGGGGGAGGCGGTGGATCTTTGTTCCAACCTACCACACAATTTTCGAAGCAACGGCCTCAGCTATTTTAGCCAGTTACTCAAAAAAAGCAGAAAATCCTATGCATTAGAATCTGTGCCGCACGAGCTGTGTAAGATACCGAGGATTACCGTATTTCTTCTTAAGAGGTGGAGCTTTCTGGACAGGAGGTGCGTCGTCTCCTGCCTTCGATTCTGGAGCATTTTCGGCGAGTTCGCCCCCTGGTTTGCGGGGTTTGTCCTCCTCCTCCTTCAAAGGCGGAGGCTCTAGACTACACCAAGCAGCATGTTGATCTACCTCCGAAATACAGATACAATACCTGAATTGGTGCCACTTGCAATCAAGATATACCCCTAACGTGAAATTTATATGCCCAAACCAGGCGTTCGCACGAGGCACGTCTTCAATCAGCCCTTCATACATCGCCATACCATCAAGGTGACACCCGGCTTAGGGTTTCGGAGCTCTCGATCGTGGCCCCCCCGAACTCAAACGAAAATCGTGGTTCCCGACGGAGAATCGACGCTTCAGTGCGCGCTCCCTTCGATCCTCCGGTGCACAGTCCTCCTAGCGATTGGACCATTTCTAGGGTTTCGTCCAGGAGCGTGCTGCTGTTGTGCCATGTGCTACGAGATCCCCGTGGTCCTTTCTTGGGCGTGTATGAACAGTCACGCCCTTTAGAGTTTCGAAACCCTAATGTATTACAATAATATGTTTGTAACATAAGCAAGTATTACATATTAAAAAAACGTATGAACCTATTGGTTGTTCTTTTTCATCTCAAACTTATAATTCTCAACTTACATGCAAAAATTATTAAATGATATATATAATTCTTTTTAAATGTCACAAACAATTTGTCTTATATAATATCAATACATGATTTTTGAGATAATCAATTAGTCTTTTTGGTTGAAAAATAAAAGTAAAAGAAACAAAGTTAAATAAAAAATTGTAAAAATATATAAAATTACTATAACTCGTACATTCACATACAATTATATGTTTGTACTTATTTTTTTCATTTTCACATTCTATTTTATTATAGCATGTAATTCATTAACTGTGATTGCTAAACAATATTTTTATACTTATGAGAATTGTTGTTACACAGGGAAATAATTATTTTGGTACACAATGATGATTTTAATTTACTCAGTTGGCACAATTGCCTATTTCACTTTCTTTTTCTTTTTCTTTTTCAACATGATAAATTATTCGCACAAGCTCAATATTTCTACCTCATATCTGCATAACGTATTCAAAAAAATTACCAGAATAATCTAACAAATTCATGATTTTTTTTCCGATTCGGTAGAAGCGAATTAAATCAGCATCACGATTGAAAAAATAAAAAAATAAAAACCTGTTTGTATATATATATATATATATATATATATTTATATATGTGTGTGTGTGTTCAACATTTAAAATAGAACAGGACAAATTAATAAAATTCTAAGTTGGGCATCAAGATGGTAATTTTTTTATTTGAATTGTAATTTTTTTTTTGGTACTTGTAATGAATTATACAACCCTTCACAATTGTACATTCATCTACACATAAGACAAAAATTATTAACTCAATTCATAAAAAATCCTATCAATCGAGGCCGTCCATCTTCTCTTACGAACTAACCAGGCAAGTTACAAGATTCGGTCATGTGTTTTCGTTATGACACGTTTTCTCAATTCTCACATGGCCAGAAATCCATGCGCAATACTCATCTGTTCAGCTGAGGTGGCGCTCCGACAGGGTGGAGATGAAAAATGTACGAGGGTGACAGATTCATCCAAACATATAGTCATCCACCCAGATTGCGCACGCATGGGTGACCTACAAAAAACCAAGAGCCTCGTCCCATGAAAGCATGACCCTGTACTCTTTGCTCGTTTGCTTGTTTTCAGCCTGGCATTTGCTTTGCCATAGAATTCCAAGTTCAAACCTCTGAAATTGGCATGACGCTCGTCCAGCCACCTCTTAAGAAGGACGACGACGTTGAGGACGACTGTGAGTTTCGATCGCCTTTTGTATGTGCTAGATCTGTTGCAAAATATGCAAGATCTGGGGAAGTAGAGCTCAGGGGAGCAATCTAGTGATGAGAATTGCGGGGTTCGTTGGAGCGATTTTCTAATTTTATTTTTTCTTTTCTGTTTCTTTGTGCGGATCTTACAGCTGAGTATTCGCCGTTTTATGGAATTGAGAGGAGCGCCGTGCTGCAGGAAGCACGCGTGTTCAATGATCGGGAGCTAGATGCTCGCCGATGTACGCAGGTAAGGGGTTGAATAGGGGTTAGGAACTGCGTGGTTGCGATTTTGTTGTACGGTTTTTAGTGAATTGAAATGCACTAGCTAAGTTTTAGTGAGATGATGGCCAAGGAGCTCGTTGGATCATGTTTTGATGTGAAGTTATCATGCTTATGAATTTTGAATGTGCGCAAACTTTGCGTTTGCATTTGGATCTTGATCAGGTTATCACAAAGGTTCTGTATTTTATTAACCAGGGCGTGAGTTTTACACAGGTACGAGCGATGCGTGACTGTTAATTTTTTAGGTTTTTCCAGTGGTTACATCGTAATTAATCGGGGCAACTTAGTGTAATTCTGTTGAAATGTAGCTCAATTGGGTTAATTCTTTGTTAATGATTATTGGATTGTTGTGCTGAAAGTTTGCATGGTATTGTTCCAGAGTATTGCAGGGTGTGAATCGATCTTGTGTTAAAGTATACTTCCAGTATTTTTTGGTTGACCCGGATGTTGCTTGGAACCAGAAAGAAGTGACAGACGTTTTCTTCGCAACTACTAAACTGTTCCAGTCAAACGATATCGGTTTGCGACGCATGGTCTACCTCATAATTAAAGAAATTTCTCCATCCAATGATGAAGTAGTCCGCTCTCCCTACTTCATGTTTTGTTTTATGTTGGTAACCTGCTTTATTAGCTGTTCAAATTGAAGAGAGTGGAGATGGTGCTGCAGGCGTCCTTGACGTCTTCTTTACACATCATGAGAACAGAGGACGTGTACTTCTTTGTTGACCTTGGCTCAAAAGCCCATAATGTTCCAGTTTTTGTATGAAATATACACATTCCATACTTACTATTTAACTTTCGAGCATAGTTTCTCTGATGAAGATCTGTAATCGGCACATCACAGCAATTCTTCTCGTGTTCACAATCTTTGACCACGGCACGCTTTGTTCATGTCATTCCGATATGTCAATAACAGTTTTCTGTTCGTTTAGTTAGGATTCAGTACTTTATTGAAGGGCACAACTCTGATGTAGGTAATAATCGTAACAAGCTCCTTAATGAAGGATATGAACAGCAAGACAAACCTTTATCGTGCAAACGCCATACGGGTGCTCTGCAGAATCACAGACGGTGGTTTATTAGGCCAGATCGAACTGCATCTCAAGCAAGCTGTTGTGGACAAGAGTCCTGTTGTTTCGAGTGCTGCACTTGTCAGCGGTATCCATTTACTTCAGGTAATTTGTGTACGATATGTTCCCTTTTTCAGAAACTTACCAACTGATTTCATTCCTAGAGCCCCTTACTAGGTTTCTAAGTTCACCTCTCTCTCCCTCTCTCTCCCTCGGTCTTACACACCCTCATCCTCTGAGGCTTGATTCCATTCTAACTTCCATTAACAGCTCTCTCCATTTGCTCATACTAGGATTAAATATTAATTCTGAGCATTGTTTCATTAAGACATTCGTTTTTGGCGTTCACGATTCAAGCAATGACTGTTCAAGGACCTGATTATGTCCTTTGCACTACCACTTTTACTATGTGTTAATTTAGAGCTATCCCGAAATCGTAAAGGGTTGGAGCAATGAAGTTTATGAAGCTGTCCATTCTAAGGCATCACTCGTTCAGTTTCACCGTTTGTCATTGCTTCATCAGGTCAGACTTCTTCCATGCACATCCCTCTCGATGGATCATTCTTTGATTTCCTTTTGGATTGATGCATTTTGGATGAAGATAGTCTGGTGGGCTTTTGAGGTATGAATTAGGAAGTTTCTTGAATGTGCATGTGCAAATGTGCAGGGAAAATATATATTTTTTTCATTTGTGGAATAGTCGTTCACATGGAGGTATGCTCATTTCCGTATTAACTTATTTACGATTTTTTGTCTGCTCGCAGATCCGTCGAAACGATCGACTGGCTCTGAGCAAATTGGTGAGTGGCCTAACCAAGGGAGGTGTACAGTCCCCTTTGGCTAAATGCCTGCTCATCCGCTACACAACCCAGGTACACTAGTGCTATCTCTTTGAGAATGAACATTAACAATGATTGAAAAGTGTGGATTTATGCATTTACAATCTTTTGATATAGTATTCACTTGAATATTCGTTATGAAGGAATATCTCACAACTTTTCTGTCAATTCCTTCCAAAAAGCTTGTGGTATCTTGGGGTTGTCTTTGCAGATTGCACAATTCCATCCACTAGCAGTCGCCAGCTGCAACGTTGACTTAGAAAGTTTTATTTCCGATCAAAACCGCAGTGCTGCTACTCTTGCTATCACCACCTTACTGAAGACTGGCAATGAATCAAGTGTTGAGCGGCTAATGAGGCAGATCACGAATTTTGTATCGGACATAGGTGATGAGTTCAAGATTATGGTGGTGGATGCCATCCGCTCTTTGTGCCTCAAGTTCCCTCAAAAGTGTCGTTCA